GAAGAGATGTACTGTTTTGATGTTATCTCCCAACACACAATTTTAGAGTGAATTGAATTTTGTAATCCATCTTTACTGGAGAGTTATTCAAATATTCTAGATCATATATTCTAGGGAAAATACCCAAAATGGGAGCAAATGACATTTGGAATTCTAAAAATAGGACTAGTATATTTTTCTTCACGAAATAGGAGTTATTACTGTCATGTATGAAAAATACTGTCATGATTGAAAAATACTGTCATTAATTATAATAAACAGTGTCATGTTAAATGCTCTGTACTGCAACTATTTGGCAGTCACGGCTATAAGATGACAGTAAATACTACCATGTTAGTCTCATTTCGGGAATAAAAACAAAGTAGTCCTATTTTGGAATTTCAAACTTCATTTACTCCTGTTTTGGGAAATCTCCCTATATTCTAACAAAGACTTCTTGTAGTGAATGGACATGTTAAACTATAAAAGTATATAAAAAACATTAGAATAATCAAATATATTTGTAGTGGGTTTATTTACGTCTTAACACATAAATATGAATCTCCACGATGTATAGTAATTAACATTATTAATTCTTCATGAGAAATCTGAGAGTTTAAATTAGCCTAATTATTAATTTTCTTTTCTACTACGTAATACTTTATAATAAGAAATACATCACATAATCGTTTAATACAAATCAATACACTATAGACCAGACATATTGCTCTCATATAGTCACCATATTATTTTTTTTTTATCCCGGAAGGCAAACCACCAAAATCAGTGGGGTAAATGCCGGGAGTTAGATACCAGGATTTTATTAAAGCATATTGAGGATACAAATAAGAGGGGGACTAGGCCAAAACCTCTTAGAAAAAAACATCAACCCGGGGGGACTAGACCTGACCCGGTAAAAGAAAATAGATAAAAAATTTAGTGTAAACAAAACGAAACAATATCGAAAAGGTCCATATAATAAGCCCGTCTAGCCAAAGGTGGGAGACTTTCCGGGCTATTAAAAATGAGAATAGGGCCCGTATGAACATGGGCCAAACTATGCGCAGCCCCATTAACCTCTCTGTACGCATGCGAAAAGGAAAGACCTTTCCTTTTCGCTGTTAGTAGGGTTTCCTGAATCAGAGTTCTCCATCTGCACACCTCAGGATCCAGAAGAGTATCAAGCGCCATTGTCGAGTCCGTTTCCGCCTCAAAATCACCGAAGCCCTCACTCACCGCCCATGTTAGAGCTTTGGACATTGCTTGAATCTCGGCTTCCAGTGCAGAGGAAGCGTCAATCTCAAAGCTAGCTGCACAAACAAGATGACCACTTCGATTCATCAGAATAGCTCCGCCGGTCGCCGTCCCAGGTAAGTATCAAGCATCCGTGTTTAATTTCATCATCCTCTGTGGTTTCCTCCATTTTAGAATTTGAAAACTGTATCTGGTACTGCAAAAGTCTTTTTGGATAAGCTGTTCTTCATACAGTATGTCATCTACTGAACGAAATTTAACTCCCTTTAGTGATTGACGGTGATACAATATTTTATCACTGCGAGGACGACATCGACGGTCTGCTGCTCGGAGGAGGCCGGGCGCCTGAGTTTGACGCTGCTAAGACAATATTTTGGCGATGAAGTAACACACGAAGGAAGTAAGGTGCAGAGAAGATGCAAACGACTGTGCTGAGTTTTTTAAAAAAAGGTCACATTTTTGTCGAGGTCTAAAATGAACACATTTTTGTCTATTCAAAGGCTATAGCTAAGATTCTAGCCATTCTTTCCACATTAACTCTTTTTTATTTGATTATATATACATGCATCGTAGCTCTTTTCTTGCCAAAATATTATTACACATTTACACTTGTTATTTTGAACTACGATGTGTGTTTTTATGTCAATATCAGAGACAAATTGGATGCCTAACTCATTTTTCTTTGTCTAACATTGACATTTTAGTTTCTTGCACTATTATTTTTGTAGTTTTAATACGGAGTATTTTTTACTTGAATTGAGATTTCCTGTTTTAATTTTAGTTTGATGTGATCTATTTTGTATAGGGTTGGTCTTCTTTGATTTGAAATGTTTTATGTAAATTTTAAATCGGATATGATTTGCAACTAAAACATGTCTAATTAAACATATCCAAAGTCAAATTTGATTGAAATGATTTAATTTACCAAGAAGATAATTTTAGTTAGGTAGAATTTGAGTTTGCACCCCATGTTTTGGATGATATTTGACTTTGCATTCCATTACCCCAAAATTTGTTAATGAATGAGGTGCAAAGTCAAATGATTTTATAGTGAATTGAGGGTGCATACATTAATAATTTTGAAAGTACAGTGCAAAGTCAAATATCACCTAAAACATATAGTGCAAAAGTCAAATTCTTCCTTTTAGTTATGTATATATTTGCGTTTACCAATAAAAGATGTTTTAGATTTAGTGACTATAAGTTTTTTGATAATTATTAGCCACTTTATAAGTTAATAAATGTAATTAATTAAGAAAATAATTTCAAACATATAATCAAAATGAGAATTAAGATGTGATTCTAGTAATTTTAGTAAATATATATGCATTCAAATATTACATTGTAGTCATTATAAAATGGAAATAATAATAAAAATACCCCAAACTTTGAAGGGGTGTGAGGTAAACATCCCAAACTTGCATATATAATTTAAATATATCAAACTTAATATAAAGATTTTATTTTTGCACCAATGTCATGTATTATTTCTTTCAAAAATATAAATTTACGGGGTTAAATGCATAATTTAAAATAGCAATTTAAAAGTGTTGTAATTATACACATTGGGGATAACATTGTTTATTTCACAATGGAAGTTTAGAATGTTAATTGTGTTTTCACGAATTTTAAAATATTTAAAATTATACAATTAACACCATTAATTTACATTTTTGAAAGAAATAATGCTTAACTATGATGCTAAAAACTTTTTATATAAAGTTTGGGGTATTTAAATTACAAATGCAAGTTTGGAGTGTTCATCTCACGCCCCTACACAGGTTAGTATATTTTAATTATTTTTACCTTATAAAATTGACCTATAATAATTTATATAGTCACATTTTTGTCCATAAATTTTTATTATTAATATTCTAGAAAAAACTTATTAATTAAGTGGTTTCAAACTTTCAGCTATAAAGGGAAAACGTTTTGTGAGATTGTAGAGGAGCGACAATGGCATGGGGAAACTCGTGCTGTCGCCTCCTCTTTTTCTCTTCTTTCTTCTCTTCTTTCAATCTTCTTTGATTTCAATAATAGAAAAACATTTTCTTAATCAGTGTTTTCAGTTTTATTCATGTGTTTCTTTCCCAACATTGTTTGGAGATATTATTTTCGGTAGCGAAATATCGTCTGCCAGATCCATATTCCCCGCCACTTTCGGTCGGGCGTTCTTGTGTGCTACAAAGAGATTTGCACTGATCTCTTCATTAATCAAAAACATGATTTTCTTCTGCGACGATATTGAGACGGATCGCCCCCCTCCTGAACCACCGCCGTTCCAGGAAGATGATATCATTTGAGTTGCTTTCTTTTTGGTGGCTGATGAAACCGGAACAAATTCTGCAGTTGGCTCCTTATCGGTGGCTGCAGAAACCGGGATACTTAAGAGTTTTTTTGGTAATGATTGTGATCGTAGCAGGAGCAGTCAATTTGCAGGTAGAGTCTACTTCTTTGTGGGATTAACGATTCAGCGTTTTCGATTAGAATCGTCCGTTTCTATGTCTCATCCCATTATAGCCTTGAACTTTATGATTATAATGTTTCTTGTCATCTTTATTAATAATAATTAAATTATTTGTTTTCAAAAAAACTTTCACCTATAAAAATTGTACGTAGTAATAAAATTCCGTATTAGCAATCATCAATGTTAGTTTTGACAAATAAACCAGTAATTACGTGAAAAACGTTTACTGTACATGAGTTCTCCTTTCCCCCTCTTTCCCTCTTCCCTCGCTATCCCTTATCGTTTTCCTTTTTACTCAGCTCCTTCAAAAATTCTAGAAACGGATGATTTCTCTCTTCTTCATCATCCGTTTCCCTTCTCCATTCCCTTATTTATCTTATTTCATCTGTTTTTTTAATCTTTTTCAAATTACATGCAAACTGATCACACATACAACTACATCATTCATTCATTTGGATATATGTCATCATCACCATCATTATCATTACCCTAGTCCTGCAAAGGCTCCCACAGTCCCACCTACGATGAGGCAAGAGATGGTCGGATGTACGCAATCTTACTCATGTACTAAAGCACAAAGATACTGTTTCCGAATGACACATAGTGAAAATCGCGTAAAAAATTGCATAGATCGACGGTTGCTTCATAACAAAGAACCACATACAGTTTAGTGAGCTCATTTACTTTATTCCATCATATACCTAAGTCAAAAAATAATGAGTCTTTGTCTATATTGCAAATGATGGAAAATCATTTGGATATATGTAAACAATTATTTATTTTTGTTCATCCAGACAATTAAAGTTGACTACACAGACAACTAAAGTAGATCACACAGATAAGTATTGTTTGTGCGAAAATGCTTTGTGTACACATTTTGGTGTACAGACAACTTTATAGAATTGTCTATAAAAATTTTGGTGTACACATTTTTGTGTACGCATATAGAAATGTTTGTCCACAGACAACTTTGTAGAGTTGTCTGTGGATAGACAATTTTTTGTGCGTGAGACAGACGAGTATACAAAAGGTGTACACAAAAATGTGTACACCTAACACAACTCATTATTTGTGAGCCGCACAACTATTGTCTATTTGTTAAAATTGTCTGTGCACACAAACAAATAATTGTCTGTGCAACAGGTAAATGTTGTCTACGCACACAAGCACCGCACATATGTAAATTGATTTGCACGCTAGTGTCAATGTTAGGCAACTATTAATATACTTTTTTGCACGAAAATTAATGTATGACGAGAGAGATAAAAGTTTTTGTGTATATACACAATTTATATTTGTGCTCCGAGGCAACTACATACCTACTACCTCCGTCCCTTAAAACTTTGCCAAAGTTGACCAGTACGGAGAATAATAAAGTAAAAACTGTGTGGTTGAGGTTTGTGCAGAGGAGAGAGAAATAACAGAAACCACAAAATAATTGATTAAAAGGGAAAGTAGCAAAGTTTTTTGGGATGTCCCAAAAAGGAAAGATGGAAAAGTTTTAAGGGACGGAGGAGTATTATTCTGACATTTTGTGTACAGATTAAGGACAACTTGTGTAACTTGGCATTTCTGTAATTACATAGACAAGTGTTAGCTCAAACCTACATTTTTACCGAGCAAACGCCGAAGACGACCCGGGGGTAAATCAAGGCAGTCTAGACAGTGAATTGTGAAATGGAAGGGAACATGAAAATGGAGGGTTGAAGTTGAACAGTTGAACTCTTTCCGAATTGCCCTGCATAAAGGACCAGGTTCTCGCTGATCCTCAACATTCGGCTGCAGAGAAATTCATCAGCGGCGATACATCAGAATCGAATATTAGAAATTGGTAAACCAAGCTTTCTGATTTCATCTCCTTATATCAGTACTTGTGCAGTTATATTAGCACTTGTCCAGTGATCGGCGACGAACGCCGTCGAAATTTCACTTGTGTGTCCAATTTCATGTGCATTCGTGATATCGAGTCGGTCATTCGATGTAAGTTATATCCACATGAGAGCGAAATTAGGGTTTATTTGCGTTTGTGTTTGTTTGGGTAGCACAAAGAAGAAGCGAACAGGCCTCCAAATTGAAGAGGGATTCCTGATCTGCATGTTTATCTGGCTGCGGAATGGATCACGGAAGCATTTTAGACACGGTCGGAGGTGAGATTACCGGGGTGATGGCTCCGGTGTCTATTTGCATGTTCTTGGTGGTCCTCATTGTATACTCACTTTCTTCTCCCTCCACAACCACCACCACTATCCAGACTGCCGCAAATCTTGTATACCTTGAAAACCCTTCCGATTCCACTTCTCAAAAACTGGAAGGAGCTCTTCTCAATGCACTGGTTTTCGTTATCCTCCTTGTGGTGGTCACCTTTCTCCTTGTGGCCCTCTATTATTTTCGATTCACAAACTTTATAAAACACTATGTCCGCCTCTCTGTGTTCTTTGTATTGACGTCCATGGGCGGCTCCATCTTCCTCTCCATCATCCAGCACTTCAACATCCCCATAGACGTAATCACTTGTGCTTTACTCCTTTTCAACTTCAGTATCCTTGGGGTCATCTCCGTCTTTTCACAGGGGGTGCCCATCCTGCTTAATCAGATGTACATGGTGGCAGTTGGGATCATCGTGGCCGTTTGGTTCACGAAATTGCCCGAGTGGACCACATGGGTTTGCCTTGTGATGTTGGCTTTGTATGATTTGGTTGCAGTGTTGGCCCCTGGAGGACCACTTAAGATTCTGGTGGAGTTGTCTTCATCACGGAATGAGGAACTTCCTGCTCTAATTTATGAGTCCCGGCCTAGCGAGCAAAGGAGCAGAAGAGGTTCTGGGGTTGGGCTTTTGCTGGCTGGGGTTTCTGATATTGAACTTCAAACCGTTTCAGGTAATACTAATGTTACCAGTGGTGATGATGAGAATATTGATGTAAGGAGCCCACATTCGGCTGTAAATATTCAAAATGAATGCGAGGAAATCACGGAGGAGACTTCTCCATTGATGACTAGCGGTAATTCTTTGACAGAAAGGCACGATGAGAGCACAGAAGTAAGAGAGTTGGAGAGGCAAAGTGAAGAAGAGGAGGAGGGGGAGAGAGAGAGGGGGATTAGGCTTGGATTAGGGGACTTCATCTTCTATAGTGTTCTGCTTGGAAGGGCTGCAATGTTTGATCTGTTGACAGTGTATGCTTGTTACCTTGCTATCATATCTGGGTTGGGGTGCACTCTAATTTTGCTTGCCGTGTGCCGTCATGCTTTGCCTGCGCTTCCCATTTCAATTGCTCTTGGGGTTATGTTTTACTTTTTGACAAGGCTCTTGTTGGAGCCATTTGTCGTTGGCGCGTCAACCAATCTGATCATGTTCTGACTATTAGTGCTGCTGCACAAAAGCTGTTTAGGTGCTCATAAGAATGAGAGTCTACTGTTTTGGTTTGAGGAATCTGTTTATGCTTTAGGTGTTGAAGAGCTGTTATACTCTGTTGCAATTTTTTTGTGTATTGACAGAAACTCTGGAAACTTATTCTTGAACAGATTCTTCTGCTCTAGCACTGGTATGCATGGGTTTCATTTTGTACTTCACATTCTACTACTGAATGAGGATCCAGTCAGACTAGATTTCGGTGAGCTTTTGTGATAACAGATACCCCCTAGATTACCATTTTGGTCAACTGATACCACTAGCTCAGAACTTATGACAGAGTAACCTTTAATGGCCTTTCTTGTAATCGAATCAGACTTTCTAATCATGAGTTAATACTTCATACCTGTCGAAATACCCTTCCTCTCTGATGATCATTATTGCTTGCAGATATAGATGGATGTCAACGCTTGAAATTCTTTGGTTTTCATATGAAATGTGCAATGTATAAAAGGCAGAATAGGAAAGATCTTGCAGATGACACGCTAGTATATGCACATACACGAGGGAGGCTTTGTTACAAGACAGTGCGTAACTCCAAACGTGTTGAAATAATAGTTTAAAGAAACATAGGATACAAAATATAGGAGAAACACGTAAATAAAAAAAAACAAATTTATTGTATTCATATCTACGCTGTTAATATGTACATAATATTTTCATTTAAACAAATAATAAATGTTCAATAGTGTACTTGTTCAATAATAATTGTAAAGTTATCCTAAAATCCCTACATTTCCAACAGCATGCTCCAATACAAAATATCATAGTGACTGCATTGCTACACATAAGGCTCATAGAAATCTTGGGGCGAATACTTAAAAACATAAAATTTCGTCGAGGAGAAAATCATCAATGACCCAATTTTTTTGAAATGATCGTTAATTAAGGGAAGAATGAGCTTATGTACAACGACTCCATTTCCTGCTCAAGACACGTAGTTATAACCGGGCTAGGCTAGCCAGCTGACTTTCTATAAGGGCATCTCTACATTGAAGATGCCCTCATCCGATGGACCCAATGTACTCTCCAATGCAAAAAAGAGGTCTATCCTAGTTGGCAATGACCAAGGTCCAAGAGGAGGTCTACATTGGGACCTTCAGTCTCACCCCCTTTCTCTCCTACAAGTTGATGCCAATGTGGTTTACATTTGCTTTTTGTTTAGTTTCCGAGACTCATTCTATTGATCCCTCTAATTTTATATAGACTCTCTCCATTTAATTGTCACATCAGTTCCAATGCACCATTGCATTGGAGATGCTCTAATTGTCGTCAAAGGTCTATTTAGCCTGAGTGCCTAAGATTTTCTGCACCCTTTTAGTTGAGCTTGCGAATCCTGGCATTAACATTTTTTATTTAGTAGTAACTCTTATGGTTTTTGTCCAACTTTTTCATTACACACCTAACTTTTGATTTCACATGTTGAATTATGTAATAATCATAATAAGTAAGTTACTTTTCTGGTTAAATTGACAAAGTTACAGTAGAAGATCATTTTAGCTATTTTTTCATACTTAATTACTTTTACGTTTTCTATTTTTAGCTTTTATTTCATACTTTTACACTTTTTCTCTCATGCTTTTTCAACACTATTCATTACTCCCTACTATTTCTTTCTTGAATAATGTGTCAAAGCCTCACGTAGCACGGAGGGAGTATTTAATAATTTCATTAACAAAAATATAATTTTTCATAAACCAGCAGTGTCAGTCAATTTATTTATTTCAGTTAGAACTTCATAAATTTCAACTAAAGATGGCAATGGGGGCGGGCCCCCGTGGGGAACCGCCCTGTGGGGGAGAGTGGGGGCGGGTGGTGGGGCGGGGCGGGTATGGGGATGAGGGAATTATTTCCTTCCCGCTTAAATATGGGGCGGGTGATGGGTTATGCACCCCCGCCCCGTCCCCGCCCCGTCCCCCGTATATATACACATATTAATAATTTATAATAATAATCACAATAGTATTACTAATAATAAGGGTTTTTTACAAAAATATTACTAAAATAAAATTTATTTTACACAAATATGACTATTAGTTACTACAATGTAGTGTCATAGTAACCTAAGTTTAAAAATTGAACATAAATTACTATAATTTCATTACTACTCTAGTCATTAGTCACATTTTTGTAAACAGTCTTCATTTTAGTTATAAATATTTAATTACTAATACGAAATATTTAAAATAGCATGGTGGCTCAGTGGGTTTAGTTGTTTCTTATCTAATGGGTTGTGCCTAATGGGTCTATCTAATTCTTGTTTAATAACTCATCTATCTTGTAAAATTGGTTATCAAAATCATATAAAGTAAAATGAATTTGGGAAAGTTATAAATTGATATTCGCTTAAACGGTTAAAGCACAGTGTGAATGTTTTCTTCTTTTACTATTATAGTGCATTAATTCTTTTCTTATGAATGTCATCTTTATGATTGTAGATAGGGTTCTTAAAAATATGGTGACCATAGGTCGTCCTAGATGATGTCAAATGATCATGTTTGATTGAATGAATGGCTTAAGAAAATATTATAGAGCTAATTAATGCTAATAAAGTGTTTGATAAAATGACTAAATCAAAATGTGTATAATATGTTATAGATTTGAAAAGGGATGTAAGATTACATTGACACTTAAAAACTAAAAGGTTTTTTGGCTACATACTAGAAGTGTTGTTTGATTTTTGAAAAACTGCCTAGAACTAAAATAGTGTTAATTTTTGACGAATATTTCCCGCGTTGGGTACCCGTGGGTCTAGCGGATCGGAGAGGGGGATGTGGCGGGTCGAATAGTAGTGGGGGATGGGGCGGGGGTGGGGGCAATTTTTTAGGCACGGGACGGGGGATGGGGGAGTGAACCCCCGCCCCAACCCGCCCCATTGTCATCTCTAATTTAAACAGAATTAACCGATTCAATCAATTTCAATGTTATCAAACAAACTCATGACACAAATACAAATGGTAACATCACTGATTTATACATTTATAACAACTATTAATTTTGACAGAAAACTAGTGTAAAGCCCGGGGCAATGCCCCGGTAGCGCGTCAATTTGATATGAGTTAAAATGAAAAATAATAATAGATATTGTGAATTATTCATAAGATCCAAAGCTTATTATAATGCATTTTTACTATGATCTAACCACAAACAATAATAATTTTTTTGTGTTAAATGACTATGTATTAAATTATCCATCACCATATATTATATATTTACCATTTAGCTTATATCAATGTTTTTTATTGCGACAACGTTGCGATTGCAGTGACTGCAGTTGCAGCTATTGCGGTCGTTGCAATGCGTATTGTGACCGATGCTGTGTAATTTAATTTTACGTTCAGCAAAATAAAAAAATAAAGTGTTGATATTCTTATACGATCTGATATGGCCCGGTGCGACCACATTGCAATTTCGTTGGGTTACGCAGTAGATTTCCCCATGAATTAAAAATTCACCTCCATTGCGGTTCGATGCGGTTGCACTACAGAATGCGACTGCAATATTGCAGCCGCAACACGTGCTGCGATCCCGACCTACACCCACTGCGGCCACATTGCGGTTTCTTTGGCTTTTGTTGGAATGATGGGAGTGAATTATTGTTATTCTTGTAGTTGTGCATAATTGAAGAATAATAAAAGTGTAATGTATGAAACTTTTACTTTCAAGATTTTGAATGCGTTCATATTATATGCATATTGTACTGTTATCATATGCATATTGTTACCATGTTTTCATATTAATTATAATTTCTTTACTCGCGATATAAATTGAGTGTATTTATGCATATAATTGAAGTACTCCCTCCGCCCTCTATTATTGTCCCATTTCCTATTCACTTGGTCAACACAAATAACTCTTAATCTCTTACTTTATTTATCATTTTTTTATCAAATTTGATTCTGGTTTTTGCGATTTTGTAAACCTTTTAATGTAGTTTCTGAATATGCAATTTTTTTTCCTAAAAATAATTCTAGTGCGGACAGGGATCTGTTTGCTTTATCGTCAGTCAAGCATCGTAAACCGCAATGGGACAATAAAAGGGGGACGAATGTAGTATTTAATTTGAAACATAATTTATAATCTGATTTCATGCACAATCCAATCAATAATTAAACTTATTATAAAATTAATTAAATGTTGTAATGTAAAAGTATGATTTTTTTTATACTCCATCCGTCCCTAAATAAAAACATCTGTTTCCTTTTCGGGCCGTCCCTAAATAAAAGTTCTCTTTCCTTATTTTGGCAAACAAAACAGTGCAAAACAGTGCCAAACAGTGCCAAACAATGTCTAAACAGTGCCAAACAGTACCAACCAAACCCACTTTCTTAAGATGCGTGTAAAATGAATGGATACTTTTATATAGGGATGAATTGAAGGTAGTATTATATTTGCATTTGCATCATTTAATGAGTTACACAATGATTCTAAAATTAAAGTAATGTTAACATGTACTATGCGAAGTCAATAATAAGGGAGTCACACACAACATTTCATAATTCAAATTTAGAGCTTTTGCCACATTCAATCCCCCGACTATTGTGCCAGCGACATATTTGATACTCGACTTTTAATTTTTCCATTTCAGTCCTCAATTATTGTGCTAGATACCCTCTTAATCCCCAACTTCAAAGTTTTCCACATTTAGTTACCGAGTCTTATCAAATTGATATTTTTAATCATTCCATTATGATTTTGATGCAATAAGTAGATGATTATAGAATTTTGAATGGCTACCGAGATTGTTAACTTAGGGAGAATTAATTTATTGTTTTAATAGGAGTGATAATAGAATTTTTAGTAATCATATAATAGATTGACTCATCATTGATTTATAACTCAGTTTTACTATATAAAATAATAGATTACTATTATTATTACTAATACTATTATTATTATTATTGTTATTATTATTACTTATATTATCACTACTGTTGTTATCATCATCATCATCATCATCATCATCATCATCATCATCATTGTTATCATTATAAAAAGTCCTATATATTCGAATGTATTTTAGTGCATTAAAATATCATTTGCTAACTTCTTGATAAGTTTTGAAAAGTCAAAGTTCTAAGATATTAAGAGTCTTCTCCGTGATTATTAATTGCTACATCCGTTAGAGTCTTTTTCTTAGCTATTTTGTAGGATTTTAAATAGTGATATTAATTATGTTTGCCAATCAATAAGAAATTGACACCTCAGCTATTTTTTAACTCAGTTTTACTATATAAAACAATAGATTGAATTAGAAAAATCGCATTTTGTAAACATAGACAACCAAAATTGGCCGCATAGACAGTATTTTATGTGGAAAATATTGATTTGCACATATACACGAAACTACGAGGTATTATTTTTAGAAATAATTACATAAATATGACAAAAATAACGATGATTTACAAAAATATGACTAATGACTAGAGTAGTAATGAAATAATAGTAATTCATGTTCAAGTTTTGATCTTAAATTACTATAACACCACATTGTAGTGATGAATGGCCATATTTATGTAAATATATTTTATTTTAGTAATATTCTTGTAAAAAACTCTTATTTTTATACTACCTCCGTCCCAGAATTTACTTCCGAAATAAAGTGGCACGCGGATTAAGAAAGTGGGAATTGTGTGGTGGAGAGTTGTGCAGAGGAGAGAAATGCTATGAACCACAAATTCTTTGCCAAAAAAGGAAAGGGAAGTTCTTTTTGGGACGGACGAAAAGGGAAAGTTGGAAGTATTTTCAGGGACGGAGGGAGTAAGAAAGAAACTGAAATCCATATTTTTGACATCTATTTTTCTCGATTAGCTTGGGAAGCCCATCATTATCCACGCCGTTTCATTTCACCGGCTCATATTTATCAGAGCTACTGGCTCTTATCCGCAAGGTATGGCTGCCGCCCTCCTCTTCACCGCCATTCCAACCACCGCTTCTCTCTCCCTTCATTCTTCATCGTCGCTGTCAGCTTCTTCTTTGCTCTCTCATCCACGTAAGAATCCGATTTTCCCTTCATACGCGTTACCGTTTTTCTTTTATTTGCGAATGGTAGAGATTTTCCCATTCGCGAGAACCTCTTGGAGTCTTGGTGGTTTATCTGTATTTTGAAATTGCGATCTGCTGTGTGTTCTTTACTGCCCTAATATCATCTTTTCGTGGAGGGGCATCTGTTAGGCATTTTGTCGAACATGTCTTGACTGTTCACTCCAGTATCTTTGAAAATTTCAGATTCTTTATTATGAAATGAAATTAATCGTACTCCATGGAATTTAACTTGCATTAATGAGTTTGAATCCTTTAAGCTCGATTTTAGCTTCACTGATGAAAATTAGGAGAGGTTGAAAGGTTTAAAGGAAGAAGATCAAAAAAGATTTATCATGAAGCATTCAATAACAGTAGAGTAGAAGATCCTCTCACTGTTAACCTCTTTTACTAACTTGTGCACTTTGTAATTGCCAACCAATGCACTAGTCCTGAGGTTTGATAGAACTTGTAATGGTGTGACATCAAGATCCTACATCAATCCCCGGATTCTTGCACCATATATTTTCAAAGAGAGAGATGCATTGGTTTCAAATGCAGCTTCCAGTGTGAGTGACAATGTTGAGCCTTCCTCTGAGAGTAAAGAGGAAAACGTGTCCGTTGAGAACCTGCCTTTGGAGTCCAAGCTTCAGGAGTCTGTTGAGCGGAAAATGAGAATTAAAATGGCAAAGAAAATCAGAATGAGAAGAAAGAGGCTAATGAGGAAACGTGGGTTGAGGAAGAAGGGAAGATGGCCACCTTCCAAGATGAAGAAAAACCAGAATGTTTAGCCTCGTATGTGATCTTCCTGTTGAAAATATTTTGTTCCATATGCATCTGGATTGGAAAGAAATGAAAATGATCTGTTTTGTACTGATAGGTACTCCTATTCCTACTACCAATACAATTGCTGATCTTTCTGTGAAAACTGCAGTTAAAGTCATTCACTAACTCAAAATTCAGATCAGTGTTTGCTAACACAATAACTCTTTGTTTTGTAAGACGCTTTTCTTCTGATGGTCTCTTTTTTCAGGCTTATTCGACTTATTGGCTAGGTTATTTTACCAAGCCTAACTAATTTAACTAAACCCGCAGAATAAGCTAAAATCATTTTTCTCTCCTCTTTACACATCTGTATTACACAACTTTTACTTTCTTATTTCATTTGGCACTGAAAATTGGTCAAATATTAAAGGACAAGAGAGAATATATATATTGACATTACTTATTTGGGGTGGTCTTATCGCTAATTATATCACAATTTTAATACTAATTATTATATTATTAAGCATTTGGGGTGGGCTCCAGCCTAGGGGAGCTCACCCCTACATTCACCCTTGGTTATCGGTCTTATCACTATGTTCAATCTTCGATACGATAATTGCGGTGTATGGTTGAAGTTTTGATATTTTCCTCGAACGACAACATTCCTTAAATAGCACAAAGTTGTATCCATAAGGAAGACCCACTAACACCCAATGACAAACTTAAATTCCAAGCTATGTGATTAGAGGCTCTAAGCCTCTAATGTAGTTTGAAGCAAGGAAATGTATGCCCAAAACTGGCCGAAAGTTTCATAGTGAACATGTTTTGGAAATTGGAAGTGAAAAGTTCTTTTCATACACGCCTCCATGTATAACACCCCCTATTTTGTTTGCATAGACAATTTTCCCACTTTTTATGATGTAATGTATGTGACACCCACAAGATTTGCAAAAAAAACACAGACAATTTTTTGTATCAATGTCACACGCAATTTAGGGTGTGTAAACGCTTTGTTCGTAATTTGGAGATGATTAGCATATGAAAAATCTAAATCTAATCAGGAGATATTCCATAGATTTAACAACTTATGCACACACAAACACACGTGTATACAAATAATATATGGACTAATTGTATTTTATACAATGTACAGTCACATTATGACTCTACATTGTACCAGTTCCTTACGAGACTATGACTGAAGACAAGTGTATTTATACAATGTACGAGTTCCTTCTGAGAGTCTCACTATGACTGAAGACACATGCAAAATTGAGTTCCCCTCTGAAAATGCCCATGTTCGTTTAATTAGGAGAAACATTTTACGAGAGCTCTTCAATTGAATTCGACCAAAAGTATTTAGTTCTTCCCTTCAACCACTTCTTCCCTGCATGATATAATTAACTTGTGGACAAAAAGAGACCATTTGTCACTTCAGGGATTTTGGGTCCCATTTTTGTCTAAATCAAAAGTAGTTCTTATTTTGGTCCATCTACAAGTGACTAGTCATGTTTTTGTCAATATTTCTTAATACTTCTAGGGAGAACTATCAAATAAGCCCTCAAATTTTCATAAATTCATTTCACTGCCTTCCCGATTGAATTTTTATCTGAAATTTGCTATGAATAAATTAGACTTAATGAAGAAGATACTCAAAAAAAATTATCAAAAAATTCCACCGGAAATCACCCCAAATGGCGACGGTCGGACAGAGTCTCCTATAAAAGGGCTTATTCGCACTTTTTATGAAAGTTCGAGAGTTTATTTGATAGTTCTCCCATACTCGTATAATTAACTTACTTTGCTTAAAAATTCAATCAAGTAATTTTGATTTTATGTTTATTATTCTTTAATTTAAATTCCTTCAAAGAAAAGTTGTGAGTTTATTGTATTATGGTAAAATATTTAAAAAATATTGAAGAAATTCACAATGTCTATACTATAAGCTAAGAGAGCAACCAACACGTTTATGTGATATTCACATAATTTCAACAAATACAAGTGAGATACAAATTAAACCACTCTCCATCAGTAATCTAACATTTTTGAGGTAATCTCAAATTCTATTACCCAAACCTGCTCTGGCCTCTGGGAGTTGTGCAAGTTCACTTTGATGGCTGATTTTGAAGTCTACTTTCGTCCCCAATTGATTTAAAGTTTACAGAAGATAAAGTTAAATCATCCATACAAATAATTAAATAGGTTTTAATAGTTAAAATTATATGTTCATAAACTATCTTAAAAGTTATGTAACGTCGTAAAATCAAATTAGAATATAATAAAAAAATTCTACCTCTGTCCCACTAAGATTGAGACAAGAGGTTGTGGTGCAATTTTTAGGAAAAGTTGAATTGTGTAATTGAAATTGAGTTGACAAAGTATAAATAGATTAAGGATTTATTATGACCATTCAAATATTATCAAAATGTGGTATGATTGTATGAGATAATTTTGACGGAAAAGGTAACAAAACAAAGTTAGGGAATAGGGGGACTGGGGGAGTAATAAACACGTAGTTAAGGAGTAAAAAATGAAACTTTTCTGATTAGAAAACTTGTAAGGTTACTTTATAATTCATTTTGAGATACTTGTTCCAAAAAAATCTTTTTGAGATACAAAAGAATGACCCTATTCTTGAGTGCCCCAACATCGACAGGTCAGTTAATTGGACGGATGTAAATTGAAATCATTTTGGGATCAATCATGTTTCGTGTATATTTTTTTGTACATGTCATTTTACACGTCGACTGAATTGTTTATCCACATACATTTTTTTTGTTTTGTGAAGGGAATTATTTTACGCATCGAAAATTTGTTTTGTCTGTGGAACCGACAAAAAAATTTGCCTGAAAATAAACTATCTATGTACAGATAATCCGATTAGCGTGTAAAATAACGTATACTCTCTCCGTCCCATTGGACTTTGCCAACTTTCTCATTTTGGTTGTCCCAAAAAACCTTGCCAATTTCCTATTAAAACAACTAATTTGTGCTTCTGCATATTTCTCTCTCCTCTGCACAAATCTCAACCACACAGTTTTTACTATTCTTATTTCTCACCTACTTTGCACTTGGCAAAGTCTATTGGGACGGAGGTAGTATAAAAGCTTGTACAACTACCATCTTTTTTTGGATGAAATGTAAATTATTAATAACACCCAAGAAAGTTATACATCAAAAGTTCTAGATTTCCTAACCCCCCACCCCTACCTAGTGTAGGGTGATGGAGTATATGGCCCGGGAACCCCCGGCCCACAGACTCCTACTACTCCAGCGAAGGCCCAACAGGCCCAGGAGGCCCAGCAGGCCCAAATCACAGCGCCCGGAGTACCAAGCAGCCCGCACTACGCGCCAGGGGTGCCTTCGGCCCCCTGGCCGAAGGCTCTAAATTCTCACAGAACGGGTTTCTCAAGCAAACCAAGAAACTGGGAGAAAACGGCGAAAACAGTAGCCCTCGACACTGTGAGCCCTCGGCACCAGGGTGCCATCGGGTGGAAGAGCCCTCGGCTACTGCTCTATAGCCGAAGGCATCTCACTCGACAAGATATCCGCCTCACATGCGTACAGATCACCGTACCCCGCACAGACGTCCCATCCAACAGCCGCATTAAATGCGGCCACATGCGGCTGCCAGCGCCAACCAGTTGAGGTGACCCCTCGGCCAATGAGCGCTTGACACGTGTCCCTGCCCGGCATTTATTGCTACTATAAATAGCACCCCTTTTCCCCATTTGTAACCAAGTCATAACACGCTGAAAACGCTCCATATTTATAATACATTCTCTCTCTCTCTACGTTTACTTGCTCTGACTTCTCTCTAAGTTATTCCCCGCAATAACCCCTCGGATAAGCTACCCCCCGGGTACACTATCCATCATTTGGTGCTCTCGTTGAGAGGTTGAACAATCGAGTAAGAAACCCTCCCCCTCGACCAAAACACTAGCCCTCTATCAAAATGGTGAGGACAACACGTGCCAACTCAAAGAACGTAGAAGACAAGAACCTGGCCCTCGGCGACGTCAACGCCCCCGAAGCCTCTCACAGGGCTCCCGAGGGCGGTGTCATCGCTGGGCTGGAACAGGCGGCTGTCGACCTACGCCTTCAGATCCAACAAAATGCCCCCGATGCCCGCCTCGGCATCGAGGCCAAGAAGAAAAACCGGAGCGATGACCAAGTCAGCCCTCCGGTTCTCACCATCGACGTGCAATCGGTGCTCTCCGCCTTCATCCAGGCGCTCACCCAGAACCCGGGTGCCTTCGGCACCCTGGCTCCAGCTCACCCTCAGATCGGGGAAAATATCATACTTCCCCCTCTGCCACACCCCTTCGGAAATCCCACCCCTCGGGTGAGAAACGACGAAGGGGTGGTGGCCCAAGAAACGTCCTCCCAGGAAGTCCAGTCCCGGGACCGCCATAATGACAACAGGGAAAGGCCCCGTACTTCCGCCCTCAACCGGCTCGGAGGAGGGCCAGACCGCCGAGGGGTCCAAGACCGCCTCGGGGGGAAAGCACTCCAAAGGCCCCAGGAAAGCGGGGGATCTGTTTCGAGGGCAGACGAGGAGCGTCCCCCTCGGGACAAAGGCAAGGCACCCCTTCATGCGGATGATGCTCGACACCAAATCAACCAGGCCCACTCGGCCCGGGTTCGTTCGCAGGGGGCGGAGACCCTCCCGAAGGATCCCCAGGACGAGATTATTGCGGCCCTCCAACGCCGGCTCGACGAGATGGAGTCCAACAAAGCTCACGCCACCACCTCCACCCCTCATTCAGATCTCAAATATGAGGCCATGATGGCCAAAATGGAGGAGTTACAGAAGAGGGTGGCCGAGGGCTCCGGGGAACCCGTCATCCAGCTCCGGACTCGGACGCCATTTACCCCAAGGGTATTGGCGGCCCGGATCCCGGAAAAATACCGAGGGCAACACATACAGCCCTACAACGGGAAAATGGACCCCCAGGAACACTACAGCAAATACCAGAACAGCATGATGATGGTGGGGGCATCAGACGAATATTTGTGTCGATGGTTCCTCTCCACCTTAGAGGGACCGGCATACGAATGGTTCAACAGGCTGCCCGAGGGCTGCATTGATTCGTGGCAAGAACTCGCCCAACGATTCTTGACACAATTCGCCGGGAGGCGTCGCACAAGGAAGCACTTCTCCCACCTCCTAACAATACACCAAAAGAAGGATGAGACCCTTCGGGATTTCCTGGAGCGCTGGAGGACGGAGGCCGACAAGGTCGACGGGGCTGATGACGGGACCC